GGATTTTCGTGAGACCATATATGTTGATTATGAAAATTTACCACTCCACGTCTAGTAAAGCATGACTCATCGGTCCATAAAACGTTATTCAAAAACTCCCCATTATAATCAGTTCTATCAAGAATCCACTGACAAAATGTGATTCTTCGTTCTCCGTCCCCTGGCTGTAGTCCTTGCACAGGTTGCAAATGGTAAGGACGTCTATGGTCATTTCAAAGAACACTGTGAACATGGCTTGCTGAAATTCCCAAGGCACCAGAAACTCTCCTAACACTTATGGTCGGATCCCTATCAAACTCACGCAGAATCATACGGGTAAATCTGCGCTGACGAATATTTATGTTTTGTTCCGTTTGGAGATTTCCAAAACCATTTTCAATTATTTGGCGATGCACTCTTACAAATACTGAGCGAGTTGGATGTCGTCTGTTTGGAAATCTTCGTGCGTATTCTCTGGCTGCTTCTGCTGCGTTTCCATTTACAAAGCCATATACAAAATGAATATCCGCTAACTCTTGATTGGAGAATAAAAATGGCATTTTTATAAAACTTACAAAAAAACAGGTAAAAGAAACTAAATTTCGTGCATTCACAATAGCAAAAAAACGTTTCAGGTTTCAACAGACAACAAAACTAACTGTCAACTAATTGACGTTTAACCTTATTCGGCTTTCAATTTCAAAAATGTTTGCAGGCACAGCCTACTTCTAAAAATTATCGAGATAACTGACTTTTTAACGTTATTTTATTATAAATAATTAAAAATGCATCGGACCTTAAAAATCTAAATATCTCAAAAATGGCTAACTATATATATATAATCAGTTTTTTTATTCAAAAAGCAAAAAATTGCACTAAGGAAAAATGTTCGATCATTTTAATACACTACAGGTACAGTAGAGAGCGCCCTCTAGCGGCTACAGTAAAACTATGCCCATGGTTCGTTTTGTCGTACCAAAAGGCCCCTTGTAAACCAACTTTCACTGTTATACATCAAATATTGTTCGAAATATTTAAAAAAACTATTTTAGAAAGTAAATTTAAACACCCTGTATTTTGGAAGCCACGCATTGTTCGACCCATGTTTATATAGACTTTATGCACAAATTTTAAAACTTCTATCGAATCTTAAAGTTATGCAACAATAAAGTGAAACACCCTGTATAATAAAGTATAAAAAAAATATTTTAAAAAATATGTTCGCTATACCACGTAGTTATGGAACACCCTATATATATTAAAATAATTTTAAAATATGCACTAGTAGCATATCAAAGTTGCCATGGAAACACATTTTGGTATCTTTTCGAGTTTGCTCATAAGACTACTTTTCTTTTTCGTTGAGACATCCTGTATATTGATTATCATGCATACAATAAATCCGTGAAGACAACATATAAACAACAGATAAATTTATTTCGTGCCATTATCAACGCACTCTGACCTACTATGATTCATTTCTGCGACATTGCGTTGCAGAGTGAATGATAATGAAAAGGGGAACCACTATTCCCCACAAATCCAAAACAAATGATACGTGAGATTGTCCTCGATCGAGATCATTGCCGTTGCTTAACCTTCCTGTTGTATGCAGAGAATGAATAATTCAGGTGTGTTGCAGATGTGTCTTGCACTTTTGAAACAAAAATTGTCGTTTACTAATGGAAATAATCCACTTTCTGATATAGGTTCGCGTGTACAGGGGGTACCACTATGAATTGACTCCTACTATTCTTTATCCATGACTAAAGATAAATTCATACAAAAGTTATGGTGTCTGATATGATGTTCTTCGTGCTTTTTTGTATCAATGAAGTTATATCTCGTAAGCATACTGTAATTTTTAATTGAAGATAATTTGTGATTTTGGATATAATTATGACTAACTATGATCATGGTCAATACATTCGTCGAAACTTTGTCACTGATATCTAGGTCTAAGCATATGAACTTGGATACGTATGACTATATAAAATTAAGTTTTTGCTTGAAGTATTGAAAATAAGCCACATACAGGGTGTTCCTTAATGATATGAAAATATTAAAGGTTGTGAATCTACTTGAAAAATTTTAGTTTGCTTTATAAACTATGGTCCAAACATGTTTCCTTGCAAGACTCGGGGTGTTGAAGTTTTTTAGAACCGCTTCAGATATTTCAGTGATACTTAGTACGTAGTGAAAGTTTATAAAGTTGCATATTTTTCATTGAAAAAATAATTTTCAGCTTAAACAGTGGCGTGCGTACGGATATTAAATTCGACATTTTTTAAGAAAAAAATAGTACGCCAACGGTTTCATGCCAAATAAAAATAATTTTTGAATTCCCAGTTCAATTTTAAGCAAATGATCGCTCTTGAATTGTTTTCTTTCGATGCGCCATTTTTGAGTGAAAAAATAAAAACCGTACAATTGTGTGAGAAAATTAATGTAATAATTGAAGAATGCAATTTAGAAATAAATATCTAGTTGCTCTGGAATATGTCACTGGCTTTTGACATCTGACAAGTCTCTGTTATTCAAATCTGTTCGCTGTGACATCTTTTTCATTATTTAGTTTTTACAATCTTGTTAATAATGGTGAATTAATCAAATACATTACGTATATGGCCTTCCCAATGGTAATGGTGAGCACGCCAGACGGATTTATCACCAGAGTTATCCCGATCGTGCTTTGCCAAATAGTCGAACCTTTGCTAATATTCATCGTCGTCTTGTTGAAACTGGTTCTGTCCGAAAAGGAACATCTGAAGGTAGACCTCTTGAATTGTATTCCTTCGATGCGTCATTTGTGAGTAAAAAAATAAAAACCGTTCTATTGTCTAACTTGCAAAATTATTATTAATTTAGTTGGAAAAATTAAACACATTAGGGGTAATGAGCAACAACAACTGACAACTTAAACGTAACATTAAAACCAACGAAATGATTACAAAAATTGTTGAAAATGGCCCTCTTCACTTAGCGTGCATGCTTCCGCCTTCCTTCTCATGGAATTGCGCACTCGTTGGAATATTCCTGGACTGTTTTTTATTCTATCACAAGCTGCAACTATTCTTTCTCTTAATGCCTCCACAGTGTTAATGGGACTTGTGTACACTAGTGTCTTAAAATAGCCCCACAAAATGAAAACTAAACTGTTGAGGTCTGGGGACCTTGGTGGCCAATCTTGAGGTCCATCGCGGCCAATCCAACGATTTAGATAAACAGTTTGTAAATAATTACGAACCGCTACATTGAAATGGGCTGGTGCACCATCATGCATGTACCACATATTGTTTCTTATTACTAACGGAACATCATCAAACAGCAAAGGCAGCTGATGTTGAAGAAAATCGAGGTAAGTTTGTCCGTCAAGTCGTCCCGGCAAGAAGAATGGGCCATTAAAGTGGTTGCCAATAATTGCTGCTAATACGTTGAACGAAAATTGGTGTTGGAAATGGCTTTCGGTTACGGTATAGGGATTTCCTTCTGACCACGAATGATTATTGTGGAAATTCTGAATGGTATTTCGAGAAAAATTAGCTTCATCCGTGAACATCATCGATTCAAATTGCGGATTTTGTGTAATTTTTTTAAGATACCACTAACAAAAGGTTACACGCCTTGGAAAATCATTGGGAAGGAATGCCTATACTCTTAAAATATGGAAAATATTTAAACGTTTAGCGACCTTCCTCGTACTCGTTTCGGGATGTTCTTCGTCTTCGTGCAGCACTGCTTCCTCAATTTCAGGTGTTAGAGGTCTACCTTCGGATGTTCCTTTTCGGATAGAACCAGTTTCAACAAGACTTTGAAATAACCAACAGCCCCCAATACCATTCCTTCCAACAGAGGGGTACACATTCGTTTCCACAGAAAATTGAGAATCTTATCTTAACCTCGTGACCTTTTCACCATTTCACGGTCATCAGGCAGCCCCTAACAGGATCTGGAGCCATCATTTAAGACAATGGTATTCGGTTCGAGGTCCCAGTTCATCCGTTTTCTGCAGCAAACCAGTTCACAACTTCGGTGCCTAGGAGTGAAAGGTAGGACCAATTGAGAACGGTACGAAGCAAGTCCAAAACTGGTGATCCGGCGATAAGCAATTTGCATTTTTATAGGGTTTCTATGCTCCCCACGCCATTGTTCCGCGCCGTTGACGTTGTAGAGGAAAAGCGGTCCCGTAGAGCCGAACAGCCAAAAGCCTTGGTGTGGGGCCGTTATTCTGACGCCCCTGTACTTCTGACTCTTCGTGCATGGTTTTCATGATTCCATGCCCGTAAAACAACATACCACCTATACTTCTGTGGACCCAGGTGGATACTTCTTTAAAGTGTCAACTAACCTCACACAAGCCCATTATTTGCCGCAGACCAAACTCGCTAAGCTTTTGAAAATTCTCTCGTTTTCTCACTCTAGGCATAGTGAACAGATTAGATCAGCTCTTCACAACGTATTGTATGATGATCAATTGCCAATTGTAGCTACAAAACACAACTGTCACTCGCTATGTTTGAAGAGCTGATCGTTTTGTGTCCAAACCTAAACAAACATATACCTAGAAAATCTTTGTAATAAATTCATTATTACTTGGGAAACAACATACCACCTTTACTTCTGTGGACCCAGGTGGATACTTCTTTAAAGTGTCAACCAGCTTCACACAAGCCCATTATCTGCCCCAGACCAAACTCGCTAAGCTTTTGAAAATTGCCTCGTCTTCTCACTCTAGGCATAGTGAACATATTAAATCAGCTCTTCACAACCTATTGTGTGATGATCAAATGCCAATTGTAGCTACAAAACACAACTGTCGCTCGCTATGTTTGAAGAGCTGATCGTTTTGTGTCCAAACCTAAACAAACATATACCTAGAAGCTCTTTGTAATAAACTCATTATTACTGGGAGTTCTGTTTCTATGTCACTTAGTATATTTGAAAGGAATAGTGAATGTGAAAACCCCCACCAGGCGTATATCCCAGTGTGAACCACCGTGTATTAGTATTCCAATCAAAACATATTTGCACAAGCATGGAGCTTGGCGGGGAAAAGAAAATCACCGGCTTTTGTGTTCATGAGGTATATAAACTTACATTTAAATAAGACGGTGCATTCGCAAACGGCTACAATCATGTTGAAGAAGTTTATGATATTGGCAGTGGCCTTTTTGGCTGTAACAGCGCTTGAAGAAGCAGGAGAAGGTAAGTACCAATAATTCCATGATATAATAACTTAGCGTATTTGTATCAAAGCTGCTAATTTATTTTTCATTTAGTTATAGTTTTGTAAGGACGACCAAGTCAGGATATTTCCACTTCTTGGAAAGTACCGTACCTTCTTGGACGTTCAACATTATTACAGTGAAATGATAATAAAAATGATGCTTTTAACAAAGAACTTTTTAGGATGAATAAATTTGTACAAAAATATGCTTTGTTAGTTGTTTCACCATATTTATCTTAAAAAAGTTAAGTTAAACGCATTATTTTTATTATTATACATTCTACTGTAATTTAACTATCAAAGTATCATGCTACACTTGATGTTACCCCAAAATACCTAGACACACTCTATTTATAATGGGTGATTTTTTTGCTAGTATCTTTTTGGCAACACTGTTTTTGACAGATGACGCGTGAATCGTGTCTTTTGTCATTGTCAAACTTGTTCAATTTGGTCTATAATTTAACCATGAATCGACTTACGAACGAACAACGCTTGCAAATTATTGAATTTTACTATCAAAATTCATGCTCGGTTAAGAGAGTGCATCGAGCACTGCTTCCAATTTATGTTCAATTTGGTCGGCCTACTGACGGAGCTATTCGGAAGCTTGTGACTAAATTTCGAACCCAGCTTACATTATTGGACATTAAACCACCAACACGCAGACGTAGAGTGAGGACTGAAGAAAATATTGCGGCTGTATCCGCCAGTGTTAGTGATGACCGTGAAATGTCGATTCGCCGCCGTTCGCAGCAATTGGGCCTCTGTTACTACGTGGAAAATTTTGCGACAGGATTTGGGTGTAAAACCTTATAAGATACTGCTGGTGCAAGAATTGAAGCCACACGACCTCGCACAACGTTTCCAATTTGGTGAATGGGCGCTGGCAAAGGTGGAGGAAGATCCACATTTTTATCGAAAAATTGTGTTCAGCACATTTCTGGTTGAATGGGTACGTTAACAAGCAAAATTGCCGCATCTGGAGTGAAGACCAACCAGAAGCATTGCAAGAGCTACCAATGCATCCCGAAAAAATCACTGTTTGGTGTGGATTATGGGCCGGTGGCGTCATCGGGCCGTACTTCTTCAAAGACGACAATGGCCGGAACGTAACTGTGAATGGCGAGCGCTACCGTGCGATGATAACAAACTTTTTTTTGCCCAAAATGGAAGAGCTGGACTTGGCTGACATGTGGTTTCAACAAGACGATGCCACATGCCACATCGCACACGAAACAATGGCCCTATTGAAAGGCGAGTTCGGTGAACAGTTTATCTCACGTTTGGGGCCCGCCAATTGGCCGCCTAGATCGTGTGATTTAACGCCGTTGGACTATTTAAAGTGGGGCCATGTTAAGGCTGATGTCTACAGGGATAAACCAGCAACGATTGATGCTCTGGAAGCCAATATTGAAGCATTTATTTGTGAGATACCGGCCGATATGTTGGAGAGAGTGTGAAAAAATTGGACCATGGGCATGGGCCATTTTCAAATTTTTTGTGTTTTTTTTAAAATCAAATCTCCTCTTGAAAAATCACCCTTTACGCATGAAAATCTACAATATAAATAATTTTATGTTTATGTGCAAATTGTGGACAAGGGATATTAATGATTAAAATTTTGATCACAATTTATAAAAATAAAAATTTTGATTATGTTTCTCCATTGGTATTTCTTAATATTTTAGTCAAAGCTTCTTTTCTCCATAACATAATAACAAAATAGCATGGGTAAAAACCTGTATTTTTTAGTGAAGATGTGCTGTCAAATCTGGCACCTGAATGTGACTGAATTTCGACCCTTCGATTTAATATCGATGTCCCCTTGCCGTCATCCATGTCATCGTCCATAACTTGAAGTGGCATATCTCATTTTTTCCAATTCTGCAGGAGAGCGTTTTATATATTCTCACTAGATTTGAGTTGTTGCTAAGAAAAAGGCATTATTGCTACATTTTACAATTTGTTCATGTTTATTTCGTAATTCATAGAGTCGTAATTCATAGAATAAAGGCTTAGTTATGTCCGCGTTATATTAAAGTGATGAAAAATAAAAACACATGAAATTTAAAAAAAATGTTTATTACAAGACAAAATGTATACAGTGAATATTATTGCGAAATAAGTATCCGCTGTGTCTAAAACTATTTAACTCCCTATTAAAGTAACTATGGCAGCACAAACAAAAGATTCACTCAAATAATAATGACATAATAATATCTCTTAAAATACTAGTTTCAAACGGTTTCAAATTTGATTATGCTAGAACTCATTATTCTGCCAAAATATGTGTACGTTTGAGTTGACAGTGACAGCATTATACAAAAGTGACTGGATGATTAGAATGTGAAAAACAAGTTTTTCCGGATTTCACAATATCTGTATCCTGCATATAATACGTCTCAAATTTATCAAAAAAGTTTTTTCTGAACTTCGTCTCCTCTAAGAAAATTTTTGATTGCGATCAAAATCAGAAACGAAAAAAAAGTTATAGATTTTTTCATAATACTGGTATCATTAGATATGCCTTTAAAAATGTCTTTACAATCCAGTGATATTTTCCAAGTTATAGAAGAACCAATGATTAAATAAGTTTAATCTGTCATAAGAGGACCGATAAACAAAATCTATAAATATGTTTCTGTCTGTACTAGGGCTGGCCTAAGGACCGAAACAAAAACAACACTCGAACAAAATATAGCCCGCTTGATGGAAACAAGAGTTGTTTTTATTTTTCAGGTTTTCTAAAATACAAACACAACATAAACTCAACAGTCCGTTTAATGGAAAATCGCTTTAATGTTCTATCTAAATTTTATAAGGACATAACCGCGAGACCTGCCTTAACACCACATAAACATAGTTCCATCCATTTCAACTAATATATCCTCTGACAAAAAATACATCGAAAGGACCCGCCTACACACTAGCAGAGTATTTGTATCTATTATCTACGAGGCATGTTTTTAAAGTAATTACCGTTTTGACATAAAAAAAACAAGTAAATTTTGTCCAAAAATATATTATTCACTTGAAAGGCCATACTTTACTCTACTTTTCTACGTAATTCCCATTACTATTGAGGCATTTATCGTATCTTGGGACCAGCTTTTGTATGCCATCGTCAAAGAAGCTTGCCGCCTGAGTAGACAACCACTGCTTCACAGCCGTTTTCACTTCGTCATCATCGGAATGGCGCTGCCCCGCCAAATGCTTTTTCAAGTGCATAAACAAATGGTAATCGCTCGGTGCTAGATCGGGACTGTATGGAGGGTGGTCCCATTGCTCCCAGCCAAAAGAAGTGATAAGGTCTTGTGTTCGATTTGCTGCGTGTGGACGGGCATTATCGTGGAGCAAAACGACACCTGCACTCAGCATGCCACGCCTTTTGTTTTGAATTGCGCGGCGCAGTTTTTGTAAAGTCTCACAGTACGCTACTGCATTGATCGTGTCGCCGCGAGTCAAAAAATTGACCAGCAACACACCTTTTCTGTCAAAAAACACAGTGCACATGATTTTCTGAGCAGAAATTGTTTGTTTGAATTTCACTGTCCTAGGGGATGATGAATGCCGCCATTCCATTGATTGCTGCTTCGATTCCGGTGTAACGTAGGCTACCCATGTTTCATCGCCTGTGACAATATGGCTTAGAAAATCATCTCCCTCGTTACTGTATCGTTCGAGAAAACTCAATGCACTGCCCAATCTTTTGGTTTTGTGCTCATCAGTCAACATTTTTGGCACCCAGCGTGAACACAATTTCCGGTAATTTAAACGTTCCGACACAATTTTGTAAAGAACACTTCTTGAGACAGCAGGAAACTTTTCAGCTAAGGACGAAATCGTGAATCGTCTGTTCTCTTTCACTTTACAGTCTACCTTTTGAATCAGGTTATCGGTAATGACTCAAGGTCTCCCACGTCGTTCCTGATCATGAATATTTGTGCGCCCATCTTTAAAGGCCCGAACCCATTTCCGCACCATTCCATCACTCATAATGTTTCCACCATACACTGCACTGATTTGGTGATGGATGTCAACTGATTTGAAGCCTTGAGCACAGAGAAACCGTATTACAGCACGTACTTCGCAGTCGGCGGGATTCTCAAACGGTGGTGGCATTTTAAAATCACGCAAACAGATGTAAACCCGTTCGGATGCTTCCGTAATGGCGTCTGTGGCTTCCCAACAGATGCAGCTACACGACGCGCATGCACTAAACGGCGACCGCAGCGCTGCGGCGGCGTAATTTGAAAACGGTACTTACTTTAAAAACTTCCCTCGTATATATATTACCTAAAAAAATATTATTGGTTGATCATTCTGTGCTGAGAGCTACGTGTTTGGCTAATTATTTTTGCAGGAGGTGTCGCTAAACGATTCGTACGTTCAGAGTTTTTTTTTGCTCAGTGAGATAAGAAATAAAATTCTCTTGGTTTGTATGATTCTAAGTCTTAGGAGCCGCCTTGAATTTTAAGGGACAATTAGGTCCTAAGATACATTTCCTCATCCATAACACGAAGTAACTTGAGTTGAGCTCCCTTGTGGAATTTAATTTCCTATTAAAATGAGATAAGTCTAATATTATTTTTCTATAACTCTGAAGGTATCAGAAACTGAGTTATTCCACTTCGTGATATTGAAGAGCGACCTTTTTTATGTCATAAAATCGACTTAACTAAATTGTCGTATTTTCTGAGATTCGCCACTTTGTGCTATTGGCGACGATGTGATGAAATTTCTGTATTCAAACGGTCATAGCAGTGTCAAAATTACCATACACCATCCTTTGTATGACGGCAAGACGTCAAAATTAGTTGTATTTAGACTCAGGCGCCTGTATGGTTTCCAAAGTTTTAAAGCAGACTAAAGTGAAACCCGCTCAAAGCTCTCTCATGTGTTTTACAGTGTACAACAAATTTTACTATTTGGTGAATTAAATATCTTTCGAAAATCTGGCTTAGCTCATGTGATATTAGATAAATAAGTTAATGTTCATTCTTAGAAAAAGTCAAACGTGCGGAGAAGGGCAACATACACTACCACGTTCCGTGCATATCAAAACCATAATATCTGCATCATGAATATCCAAGTCACTCGTTTCAATTTATATGAACAGATGTCCGCATTGGATTAATTTTTTTACCACAAGGTATTCAATTTTTAAGACATTTCAGACATACATTTCTTTTCATTTCCTATCTTCGAATGTACTTTAGATATTACTTAAATTTAAGATATAACAAGACATACATATCTTAGTACAAGAAGATATTATATCATGCATTCAGTGACGTCCCTGCAAATATGTCTTGCGATATATTTTATAAAAAATGCTCATTATTCATAAATAGTCCCAAAAGAATAAATATCGCTACACATGTATATCAACTTTCACTCTAAGGTGCTCTTATAGCATGCCAATAATGAGTCATGCACGAATCGAAAAAGCACCTATTAACAGACACTGGGCTGTATTAGTAAGTATTCTACTTTTTCAGAGAGGGTAAAACGTGCTGACAAGGGAGGATATTTACCAAGGCCTACTGCACGTCCTGTATATGTCAAATCTAAACGCGATGTGGAGGAAGTCCAAACAGAGGAACTGGGTATGTACTCGTATAAGGCCTTAAACGATCCTGAATGCAATTCCTATGAGCCTATGTGTACTAACAAGACATTTATTTTCTCAGAGAGAGTCAAACGTGCTGATAGGGGAGGATATCTACCAAGACCTACTCCGCCACGTCCTGTACATATTAAAGCCAAACGCGATGTGGAAGAGGTCCAAACAGAGGAACTTGGTATGTATAAGGCCTCAATCGATTCCGACCTTACTTTCTATTAGCCTATGTGTAATAACAAGACATTTATTTTCTCAGAGAGGGTCAAACGTGCGGACAGGGGAGGATATCTACCAAGGCCTACTCCGCCACGCCCTGTGCATGTCAAAGCCAAACGCGATGTGGAGGAGGTCCAAATTGAAGAACTTGGTATGTATAAGGTCTCAATCGATTCTGACTTCAGTTTCTATTAGCCTATGTGTATTAACAAGGCATTTATTTTCTCAGAGAGGGTCAAACGTGCTGACAGGGGAGGATATCTACCAAGGCCTACTCCGCCACGTCCTGTCCATATTAAAGCCAAACGCGATGTGGAGGAGGTCCAAACAGAGGAGCTTGGTATGTATAAGGCCTTAATCGATTCTGACTTAAGTTTCTAGGAGCCTACGTGTATTAATAAGACATTAACTTTCTCAGAGAGGGTCAAACGTGCGGACAGGGGAGGATATCTCCCAAGGCCTACTCCGCCACGCCCTGTGCATGTCAGAGCCAAACGCAATGTGGAGAAGGTCCAAACAGAGGAGCTTGGTATGTATAAGGCCTTAATCGATTCTGACTTCAGTTTCTATGAGCCTATGTGTATTAACAAGACACTTACATTCTCAGAGAGGGTCAAACGTGCTGACAGGGGAGGATATCTACCAAGGCCTACTCCGCCACGCCCTGTACATATCAAAGCCAAACGCGATGTAGAGGAGGTCCAAACAGAGGAACTTGGTATGTATAAGGCCTCAATCGATTCTGACTTTACTTTCTATTAGCGTATGTGTAATAACAAGACATTTACTTTCTCAGAGAGGGTCAAACGTGCGGACAGGGGAGGATATCTACCAATGCCTACTCCGCCACGTCCTGTACATATTAAAGCCAAACGCGATGTGGAGGAGGTCCAAACAGAGGAACTTGGTATGTATAAGGCCTCAATCGATTCTGATCTTACTTTCTATTAGTCAATGTGTAATAACAAGACATTTATTTTCTCAGAGAGGGTCAAACGTGCGGATCGGGGAGGATATCTACCAAGGCCTACTCCGCCCCGTCCTGTTCATATTAAAGCCAAACGCGATGTGGAGGAGGTCCAAACAGAGGAGCTTGGTATGTATAAGGCCTTAATCGATTCTGACTTCAGTTTCTATGAGCCTATGTGTACTAACAAGACACTTACATTCTCAGAGAGGGTCAAACGTGCTGACAGGGGAGGATATCTACCAAGGCCTACTCCGCCACGCCCTGTACATTTCAAAGCCAAACGCGATGTAGAGGAAGTCCAAACAGAAGAACTTGGTATGTATAAGGTCTCAATCGATTCTGACTCCAGTTTCTATTAGTCTATGTGTAATAACAAGACATTTATTTTCTCAGAGAGGGTCAAACGTGCCGACAGGGGAGGATATCTACCAAGGCCTACTCCGCCACGTCCTGTACATTTCAAAGCCAAACGCGATGTGGAGGAGGTCCAAACAGAGGAACTGGGTATGTATAATGCCTTAATCGATTCTGACTTCAGTTTCTATAAGCCTATTTGTATTAGCAAGACATTTACTTTCTCAGAGAGGGTCAAACGTGCGGACCGGGGAGGATATCTACCAAGGCCTACTCCGCCACGTCCTGTACATAGTAAAGCCAAACGCGATGTGGAGGAGGTCCAAACAGAGGAACTGGGTATGTATAATGCCTTAATCGATTCTGACTTCAGTTTCTATGAACCTATGTGTATTAACAAGACATTTATTTTCTCAGAGAGGGTCAAACGTGCTGACAGGGGAGGATATCTACCAAGGCCTACTCCGCCACGTCCTGTACATTTCAAAGTCAAACGCAATGTAGAGGAGGTCCAAACAGAAGAACTTGGTATGTATATAAGGTCTCAATCGATTCTGACCTCAGTTTCTATTAGCCTATGTGTATTAACAAGACATTTATTTTGTCAGAGAGGGTCAAACGTGCGGACAGGGGAGGATATTTACCAAGGCCTACTCCGCCACGCCCTGTGCATGTCAAAGCCAAACGCGATGTAGAGGAGGTCCAAACAGAGGAACTTGGTATGTATAAGGCCTCAATCGATGCTGATCTTACTTTCTATTAGCCAATGTGTAATAACAAGACATTTATTTTCTCAGAGAGGGTCAAACGTGCAGACCGGGGAGGATATCTACCAAGGCCTACTCCACCACGTCCTGTACATATTAAAGCCAAACGCGATGTGGAGGAGGTCCAAACAGAGGAACTTGGTATGTATAAGGCCTTAATCGATTCTGACTTCAGTTTCTCTTAGCCTATGTGTATTAACAAGACATTTATTTTCTCAGAGAGAGTCAAACGTGCAGACCGGGGAGGATATCTACCAAGGCCTACTCCGCCACGTCCTGTACATATTAAAGCCAAACGCGATGTGGAGGAGGTCCAAACAGAGGAACTTGGTATGTATAAGGCCTTAATCGATTCTGACTTCAGTTTATATTAGACTATGTGTATTAACAAGACATTTATTTTCTCAGAGAGGGTCAAACGTGCTGACAGGGGAGGATATCTACCAAGGCCTACACCGCCACGTCCTGTTCATATTAAAGCCAAACGCGATGTGGAGGAGGTCCAAACAGAGGAACTGGGTATGTATATGGCCTTAATCGATTCTGACTTCAGTTTCTATGAGCCTATGTGTATTAACAAGACATTTACTTTCTCAGAGAGGATCAAACGTGCTGACAGGGGAGGATATCTACCAAGGCCTACTCCGCCACGTCCTGTACATTTCAAAGCCAAACGCGATGTAGAGGAAGTCCAAACAGAAGAACTTGGTATGTATAAGGTCTCAATCGATTCTGACTTCAGTTTCTATTAGCCTATGTGTATTAACAAGACATTTATTTTCTCAGAGAGGGTCAAACGTGCGGACCGGGGAGGATATCTACCAAGGCCTACTCCGCCACGTCCTGTGCATGTCAGAGCCAGACGCGATGTAGAGGAGGTCCAAACAGAGGAACTTGGTATGTATAAGGCCTCAATCGATTCTGACTTTACTTTCTATTAGCCTATGTGTAATAACAAGACATTTATTTTTTCAGAGAGGGTCAAACGTGCGGACAGGGGAGGATATCTACCAAGGCCTACTCCGCCACGTCCTGTACATATTAAAGCCAAACGCGATGTGGAGGAGGTCCAAACAGAGGAACTTGGTATGTATAAGGCCTTAATCGATTCTGACTTCAGTTTCTATGAGCCTATGTGCATTAACAAGACATTTACTTTCTCAGAGAGGGTCAAACGTGCTGACAGGGGAGGATATCTACCAAGGCCTACTCCGCCACGGCCTGTACATTTCAAAGCCAAACGCAATGTAGAGGAAGTCCAAACAGAAGAACTTGGTATGTATATAAGGTCTCAATCGATTCTGGCCTCAGTTTCTATTAGCCTAGGCGTATTAACAAGACATTTATTTTCTCAGAGAGGGTCAAACGTGCGGACAGGGGAGGATATCTCCCAAGGCCTACTCCGCCACGCCCTGTGCATGTCAGAGCCAGACGCGATGTAGAGGAGGTCCAAACAGAGGAACTTGGTATGTATAAGGTCTCAAACGGTTCTGAATTAACTTCCTGTGAGCTTACGTCTGATAACTAAACATTTATTTTCTCAGAGAGGGTGAAACGTGCTGACAAAGGAGGATACTTACCTAGACCTACCCCTCCCCGTCCAGTGCATATGAAATTCAAACGAGATTTGGAGGTAGTTCAAACTGAGGAGTTAGGTATGAATCAGAAATCAACAGTCTCTATCAAATTTAAGTCATATCAGCTTACGTATTATTATCTATATAACATGTGTTTCTCTTTCTTAGAAAGAGTTAAGCGCGCCGATAAACCTGGATATCTGCCAAGGCCTACTCCGCCACGTCCTGTGCACATCAGAAGGATTTAGAAGACGCATGGTATGGTAATACGGATCATCACCTACCCCTCAAAAAACAACTTGCTAATGACCGACTACATCTTTTGTCAAGAACTGTATGAAGTTCAGAAAGAAATTCAATCACACATGTATCTTGTTATTATTATAGATATTAGCTAGTAAGAATACGTTACGTTTATGAAAATAAATATTAAAAAGATAAACAGGTGTATATTTTATTAGTCCAGGGTAGTAATATTCATGCGCATAGCCAAGGGGATAATTACCTCCACCACAAATTCAAATCGCTGTTGAATCTAATCTAGAATATAGTCAAATTCTGGTTCTACAAATCAATTGTTTAGTAGAGAGTATGAATGTGAGCTTATTTTGCGTATGGTTAGTAACTTATAAAGTATTATATAACTTTTTACAAGTATTAAGACCTTCAACGCTGCATCAATCTATCAACTGTTACTGAAGTCGTCTCCGGTGGAAGCATTAAAGACGGAGGCATTAGAGCCTCTCCTACATTTACGTACGAGTAGGTATATGCAAAGAAATTAATAGTCATTATTGGCGTGAGATAAACTCTTCTTGACTGTCCCGCCATTTATAAAATAAACAATAACCTCCTAACATCTATAAATCTAGTAATTCTACCCCAAAAGCACCTTTGCTGTGCTTTGCTTTGCTGTAATTGCAACATGTGTTATTTTTATGCTGCAAATTTGATTAGGGAGTGATAAAGTTGGTGTTTTCTACTATATATTATCAAAATATTCATTGTTATTATTTTAAACCTATAACACTCTGCTACATTTTTATTATTTGTGTTTGATAAGAAAAAAACTAAGATTTCAATAGTTGGGCCAACTGAAGTGGGAAGGGGTTCGTATTTGCCCCCAGCTACTGCACCGATTTTCAAAAACTACAATGTCTTTTCGCCCTTGTCATAGTAGTAGTCTTGTACGAAAATTCTGAGGGGTGCTTTCCATGTCAGAAGGGGGGCAAGAACTAGCAAAGCGAAAGACAGACGGACGGAGAAGACTACCATGGCTTTCATATGACATCCAAAGAACGGTCTCGACATTTTTCGCACTACAATACCTTCTCACCAGCGGCGTGGGAGGTAAAACGTATATTTCATACAATAAGACAGTGCTTCGTCCTACTTTACTGTAATACTGCACTGGGAAGCTGGGATAGCGTGCTTGGTAACATTTGAGCAACAGATACGTTCATGCGATCTAGAAAATTGCATGCACTCAGTTTCAAATGCAGCACATCAATCAAAAAGAAGCAGCAATTCCACTAATGACACTATAAACGAGACTGCTCACAATACATTTATCTGATGAAATACTATCACGATGTAAAGTAATTGCAAGAAATGCTTTAGGCGAAACTACATACGAAAATTGCCTCCAAAGGTATCCAAATCTGGATCGATCAAAGTTGATGCATATTTGATCGAATCACCTTAGCCAAATTTTTTAATCGAATGGTAGCATTTAGGGGTGCCTAGCCTCAAAAACGTGTATTTTTTAAAATAATTTTTTACAGGCGCAATTTTGCCAAAAAAATTCTGAAAAAATTACTGATGCTACATTGTAACATAACCGTGGTATCTTATCGATTTGTGAAAAAAATTCTTGATTATTTAATGAAAGTTTCGTAAACTCAAAAATCCACGGTAAATCAGCGTTTTTTGTTTTCTTTTCAGATTCACTAACAAAATCATGAATGCTTCCCCGGGAAACCTCAAAGAATCGGAAATACCGCATTATCATCGATTTTGTCCAGCTTTTGGCATATAAATCTAGAATATAAAGTCAATACCTTTACCTACAAAATGGTGGTAGATTTAATAATTTCCTGAATACATACATTGACATTTAACTTGATAATTCGAATAAATACGTTGAGTTCAGTTTAGAAGATGCTGGACATGGTTGCCTTGGACTTCTTGACACAATAACAGCCGGTCCGTAATTTCGTGTCGAACATTTTCAAACATAGTAACACCGATATTCCTACAAATATTTGTTAGCAGCCGTATATTCAATATTGAAGAAGGTTCAGTTTCGTGTACCTTTTGCTTCAAATAGCCCCATTAAAAAAAAGTCTAAAGGTGTCAAATGGGGCCAGCGAGCCGGCCATTCCACAAAACCTCGACGGCCAATCCAACGACCGGGGAAATTGTTATCTAAATAATTCCTAACTTGTGTGTAGTAGTGTGGTGGAGCATCATCTTGCTGCAATACAATATCTGTATCGAATTCATTACGATTGGATTCGACGATTTCGGTGATTAGAGGGTCAATAGTATTTTACAGCACATAAAATACACAATATGAGCTCCCAATATCCCAGCCCAAACGTTAATTTTTTGTGGATATTGAGTATGAGCTTCCCGGTAGACGTGAGGATTGGTGTCACTCCAATAACGACAATTTTGTCTATGCACATTACCGTTCAGAAAAAATGTGCATTTATTACTAAAACAAATATTTTGGATATAGGTAGGATGCCCTGCAATGGTTTCCGTCATAGTCGCGCAGAATTCTGTTCTTTGATCAGGGTCATCTTCAGTTAGCTGATGCACCATTTGAATTTTGTATGGGTGATACTTATTTTTTTTTCAAAAGTCTCTTTACAGTAAAAGGACAAACCTCACATACATTCGCGATGGAGGAAGTAGACTATTGGGGATTTACAATGATCCCACCAATTATTCGAACTTGCTTTTCTTCCGGGATGGTCGGATGACCTGGTAGCTTTTTGTTGTTCACACTACCAGTAGCTGTAAATTTAGATACAAGTTCCCTTAAATATTTTTTACAGATAGGACGATTCAGGAAACGATCATTAAAAATCGTCTCAGTCTCGTGAAAGTTACGCGTCGCACCATAAATAAAAATAGCTTCGATTTATTCTTCCAATGGACGAGAGTTGACCATTCTAAAAATAGTTCAACAGTATCTAGCACTAAAACCGAAAACTAAATAAGAACATTTTAAATGTACAATGATGTTTGTTTTCGTACTGATATTCTTGTCACTGTCAATAAAAATAACAAAACAAGTTTTTATCGCTGTTGCTGTGCGTATGGTAGAGATATGCATGTTAGTCGGTTTGTGTTCAAGTAATTATTAAATGTACCACCATTTTGTAGTAGGTAAAGGTATTGACTTTATATTCTAGGGTTATTTTTACTTGATCCGTTCAAAACACCAAAGGGTGTTAAAATTCAAATTTGCTTCTGAGAAAATTGCGAAATTAGGAAAAGCCGCATTTTGGCTGATTTTCTCCAATTGTTCCCGTTTTTTGTCCGGAAAGCAATATTTGGTAAACGAAGTACACAGCACGTTAGTCATTTTTACGTTCTTTCAAGTTTCGTTATTAAAATAATGAAATCGCCAACACAATAACACTATTTACGCACATGTGTAGGTAGCCTTTTGAGTTGCCCAAACATTCCTTAACTGACCTAAATTGTCAAAAATTGAAGAAAATCAGCGAAGACATGGTTTTTTTACAATTTTTCGGACCACGAGTCAGCATCTTGGTACCGGGAAGAGAGCACAAAAATACACCTGCACATCGGGCCAGCTTACAATATTCTACTCTGAAAATATTAGATATTAAATTTTGGCAATTTCACGGACAAGAAATCATAATTTTTATAACGGAACTGAAAAAAACGTTAAAATTGCATTCATACTGTAGGTAGCCGAATATTTCTCTCTTGACCAAAAACGTGAAAAATTGTAGAACATCAGCGAAATTACCGTGTTTTTATATTTTCGCAATTTTCTAGACAGCAAATCACAATTTTTATAATTAAAACTGAAAGAATGCACGATAATATACATGCGTATTGGAGCCAAGCTATGATGTCATACTCCAAAAATACCTAGGACTGGAAAAATCCGTTGATATGCCCGAAATAATTTTAATCTATTGTGTTGTGTTTCTGACATACAGCTGTGTATGTTTTTTACTATTTTTAACGAATGTAGCATGGATACAGCTTTCACGAGGCTACTAAGTGTTTCCATCAACCTAACAAATAATAACATTTAGCAACAACCTCACATACTGTTCTCTTGATGATGATGGCATATTTTATCAAAAGCTCGAGATAATAAGGTAAAGAGAGTCCTCATTGCTTTAATCTTGTCCAAGTACCCAACTAACGGTTGAAGCTTTTCTGACCTGACTGGTTGTTTAGACGACAATGACCACAGCTCCAAACATATATGTATATATAAATATATCATACATTATGTTAAGTTCTACGCTCCATTTACCTTTATTTTGTGGGTGTATAAAAGCAAACGTCCTCCAAACCTTGGTGTACACATGGGGTTTCTTGCAGTGAGAGAATTGTCTGGGTGATTTACGACGGCAATGAAGGAGAGCGATATACCCCGCCAGACTCGGAGACTGAGTGATAAGAACCGCGAATCTACCCCATTTGATAGTCAAATAACCGGCGACATGGTGGTGGCTTTTATTATATAACTTTTTGCACACCCCGCTAAGATTTTTCCATGTGTATGGGATGCGAGACAGGGTAGGGCCGGAATTAGAATTCAGGACATGGGCAGAAGGATACTGGAACTGAACTATACTTTAGCGCATATCGTGAATATTTCATTTCTTATTTTAAAATGAGAGATTAGAATGTAACTTTCACGAAAATATCATTTTTTCTTTAAGGAACCCTGTGCTTCTATTTTATAGACCTTCAAAGTTGCATTTTTGGTGGTAATACTCTAGAATAGAATACTGTTTTATACTCTTTTTTTTTGCTTTTTGCACAAAAGGATGCTCTAAAGTACATGAATATAACATACAAATTATGAAACCAGCCGATTTACTTCTGCGGTCCTAATACATAGCGGTATTCCAAATCGGTAATGCCCCATTATTGTAAACGTAATAAGCAGTATCTCCGCTTGGGAAAATTCATTGACAAAGAAATTTTTTGTAATCTCTTCTTTTACACACACTCAGAATATTTTGTTAGAAATAAGTATAAATAAGGTCATTTTATAGCCATTGATTTCATTCATTATCCACGTTCTGTACAATTCTGTAACCAGTCTCTTCAGTAAATTTTAGATTTTGGTAAAAACTACGACGAGATATTTAATTGGCGCTGCGAACAGGATAGCCAAGCCTTTGAAGATTCCATCAAGAAGCCTGACTTTGG